CAATGGCCTCCAATCTAGAAGCTATGGCCTCCAACCTAATAGCAATGCCCTCGAACCTAGTCGAGATGGCCTCCATACTAGCAATGGCCTCCAACCTAGTAGGGATGGCCTCCAACCTAATAGGGATGGCCTCCAAGCTAGTAGCGATGGCCTCCAACCTAATAGCAATGGCCTCCAACCTAGTAGCGATGGCCTCCAACCTAAAAGCAACGGCCTCCAACCTAGCAGCGATGGCCTCCAACCTAAAGGGGATCAGAAACCAACCCTTGAAGCCATACTATGCCGTATGCCGTACTGGTGCTTTTGCAAAGGTCTTTATGGATGCTTATGCGGATGAATCTTGACCACGCGAGGAACGTGCACCTTTGCCCATGCCAACGGTTTCGAACGTCTGCAACGAACGTGTCCTGATTCTTGGGCTGCGCCATCTCCATCAGCCTGTTTCAGTCACGCAATTGCGCTTGATCGACGATTAAAAATATTACAAAGATTTATAACGTTAGTCTCTCTCTATATATATTTGTTTAGAGTCTTGCGCCAATGTCGGAGAGATCTCAGATTCCGGAAGCCCACACCTTCTGCCGAGACTCCACACAATTTTGCAAATAGACCCAGCTGCATGAGATGCGTACGGAACTCGGGCGCGTCAAAGTGTTTATGTTTTTCTCAAAAGTCAATTCCTTGCAATCTCTAAAATCCTAAATATAAAGGCAGGTTCCCCTCTACAAAAGGCCTCCGGCAGCTGACACCTTCCTTGGAAGATCTTGAGACAGTCAACCTCGGACATGGAGGTGCAAGACCAACAAGGAAACCATCGGGGCTGGCTCCTTTGGGCCAACCATCAGAGGCACGAGTGCTTTGGATGAAGGATTATCGCTACGATGGTGGAAAGACCTTTATCTAGTAACCCTTCCACAACCAGTTGCACCACCAACTCCCCACACCATAGTGATTGGATGATTGGCAATCTACCGTGTATGTATAGACCTAGCCATCGCTGGCTCTCCTCTCAATCTGCGCCGGAGCCACCAAGCGAGGCTGTTCCGCCGCGAGTCAGTGTCGACTCCGGGGTTGCTGTTGTGCTTCAGCGCAGGCAAGGAAAGGGACTTCTTCAACCACCTGGGAGCATGGAACGGATGAAGGGACGCAAATGCAAAGGAACCAAACCTACAACTCCAGGCATGTAAAAAGTTCGTTCCGTCAGGAGCTCTTGCTTGTGGCGTGCCTCCCACATGGTGCGTTCAAGAGATGCTGACAAAACGTGGACATTGGCGATTTTAATAACTGAAGGATAACATATCGGAAAACATGTACACATTCAGGATTCGACACAAGGCTAAAGGTGTTCTTACTCGTACACTCGTGCGTTTATAGAAACCTGATGTTTTATGACGTTCTTGGGGTGCGCTGATTGGGCATTGAGATTGCGGTGTGGGTTTCCAGTCGCGGCTTAGCATCAACGGATGTGAAACTAATGTATGTATATCATATAATATATATACATATATGAGGGACATTTAGTAGCATTCATGTCATGCAGAAAGATTTAAAAAACAATACGTTTAGGCTTTAACACACATTAAAGTAATAGGGCCGGACATTGGAATTGTGTTTAATGTGTTGAATTCCCTGGACTGAACCCATGACTGGAGCTCCAGGGCTTATGGCATTAATGTTTCTATTGTTTGTAATTCCCCACAGTATAATGCAGTGCAGTTGGGTTTCAATCTGGGGCTGGGAGTGGTGCACAGTTGGTCCACGGGGCTCCCAAACCGGAGTTGAGACTGGTGCGCAGTTTGTCCACAGCTGTATGGAACTTTGGGTGCTGCCTGGGCTTAGTGGTGCACATTTTGTCCACTTTGCTCGAAAGCCGGAATTCTATCCAGGAACCCTGCGTGCTGTCTGGAACCTTTGGTTGCTGTCTGGGCTCATCCTTGTGTGCGCAAACAAACAAAATTATCGGAGACATCGTGAGAACATCGTCGTGGGACTATGATTTTGGTGGCGGTGTTGGTCGTGTCCCACCTTGGAACCTGGCTGGTGATCTGCTTCACTGTTTGCACTGGCTTGATTTTGCAGCTTGCGATTTGAAGTTGACTTGACCTGCATTGTCTTTGAATATGGGCACAGTTGGGTTTCAATCTCTGGGGCCGTCCGAGATCCGGACTTCCTCCTTCCGGACCGTTGGAGCCCTGGGCACTGTCGGTGCTGTTGGGGGCTGTGTTCAGAATGGCCTTCAAACGTCGTCATGGGCATGTCTCTGGCGGGGCGTTTCTGCAACCGCAACAGCTTTTGCACTTGTAGTGTGCTTTGTCTCCACTACCAAGCAATCTCTCGTCGCAGCCAAAATGTTTGTATGCGCAGCAAGGCCACAGGTAGTTGCACGTACCTCGCAGCAAGGTTTCTGCAGCGGCAACAGCTTTTGCACTTGTGGTGTGCCTTTTGCCTCCGTTGCAGCGCTTTCTGCACACCACAGGCAGTTGGACGTTTCTGCAACCGCAACAGCTTGTTCGCTCGCTTGGAAGCACAACAATTGTGTGTGCGAGTGACAAACCTCTGCCAGTCTCCTGTCTCTTTGAAATGACAGCTAACACAAGCTGATGCATGACACGTTGGTTCCCATGTTGCAGAGCTTGTAAAAGCTGCCACATTTCTTGCTTGGACACACATTGCAGTCTGTGTAGGCAAAACCATGTCATCACAAGCCTGCTTTTTTGTCAAACATGATTTTCTCAATGTGCTTTCTGTAAATTGTTCAGGGTAAAAATCAATTGTTTCTAACAGCTTTGCTTGAAGAAAAGTCGATAACATATTTTGTTAACTTCTCAGCTAACTCCGTACCTAAAGTGTTACCTTATAACTTGAACTCCTTCAGCTAGTTCATAATGTCATAATGATTGTCGCATAACATACATAACACTCTTAACACATTGGCAAAGCGCAGGCTGATCTAAGCACTGGATCGCTCTTTCTTTGCAAATCGGCAGCGTCTCCGTTGTCACATCATATGTTGGAACTGTCTCGCTGATCTTCTTTCTCTTCACCTCACACCCTCCGCCAATCGCCAACCGGCTCAAATGTGCACCCTCTTTTCCCTGAATCGCCTTTTTCACACGCACCCTTTCATCAAGCTCGGGGTGCAAGCCAGGCTCTTCGCTACCATGCAAATGAGCAGGTGCTGCCGAACCCTTTTCCTGATAAGCCTAGGGGCGTCTTGGTCCTAAATGTAAAAAGATGTGGTGCATGTACGAGATGCGTGCATTTTGCATATTGTAATATATATATATATAAATAGAAATATATATATATTGTGTTCTACTATTTCAGTTTTGATATATATATAGGTGTTCTCTGGTGCCCCAAAAGGGGTTGACCAGGAAATGTGCTTGAGGATCTTATAGGTGTTGGTTGAGTTTCTAAAGAACACATCCATCAGCACCATCCACGATCCACCCGAATGCGGCATGAAAACATATAAAAACCTTCAGCCTGCGACCACCTGCAAAGCAACTGTGCCCCTGGCCATTGCTTCAAGGTCTCGGGATTCTTCTGAGTCCTCAAAGCATGTCCACGCACTATCATTTTGATAGATAACCTGTAACTCTCCCGCAATCTCCCACAAGCTAACATGGTCAATCGCTTTAAAGGGGTTCTTCTGTGAGGCAAATTCTGGGTTTGGGTCAGGATTGAGCAAAGCAAACACTTCTAGAGTGCTGATAGGCCGCACGCTCCAAAATCTTCTTACTTTATCAGCACAAAAAGCTACGTGCATAGGCTGACAATCTGCCGTCAAAACTCGCGAAGATTGACATCCACGCTTGAGTGGAGAACACACAACCAACGGACAGTGGTATTTTGCACAGTGGTTGAAGACCGCAGCTGATTCTGATGCCTCATCCAGTACAGTAGTTCCTCCGACTATATATATTCCCTCAAGCAAACCCACCTAGAAAGGACCGAGTGTATGTTTAAGAAACTACAAACACATGCACTAAACTCAAATTCATCTGTGCACCTGTACCGTGGCCAGAGTGTGCTATTGAAGGGAATCGAACATGTTTACACCAACATTTCACCCAACATGCCCTATGATAAAATGTACCTTTCTTTTCAACCCACCCTCCGTTCCAACGGTAAAACTTCAGCAACTTGCGATACGGTCTTTGTTTTAGGGATAGTGCTTTGACTTCTAATCACTTCCATGATACATCCGACGGGCAACAAGGACGGGTCATTCCCGCCGCGACCCAGATCGCTGCCACGGCTCGCTGACGGCTTCAGCGTGGAGATGAAGGGCGGAGCCTCCGTCTTGATGTCGCGGAGCCGCTCCTGGGCGGCCGAGACGGGCACCCCGACATGGTCTGGGACGTCGGTGAACACTCACCTTCAAACGAAGGAAACTGGACATATAGTCTGGGGATATGACCTGTAACATGCTGTTGCTGTTTTTTGTCCGTCTCAATCTGTCGTTGTCGCACCTTTCTTTGTTGTTGGTTTTCGGAACACAGGCAATGGCCTTACACTTCAAACAGCCAGCACATGGAAAGCGGAATGCATTTTTTAGCATCATCCAGCCACAAAAACCACCACCGGTGACTGGCCTGGCCTCTCAGACCATTTGTCAACAGAAATAGAAGGCCCGACGGCCCGACCAAATGGGATGAGGGTTCCCAAGATGTAAAACAAAAATCCAGCAAGTGACAAAGACATCAAATTACCACTTGGGCACATCCCAGCGTGGCAACGAGCCCGGCAAGGGCTGTGGATGCTGCGAGTAAACCTGGCAAGGGAGGCAAATTCGGAACACATGCAAACTGTTTGGAGGTCCAATAGGGTGCAGAATCCGCAAGGCGGTTCTCACCTAATCCATTGAACAAAGAGTTTCACTGGTCGTAGGGAGAGAGAATTAACAAGGGTGGCACCTGGAGGCTTTTGTTTCAATGTCGGGGCTTGCTAGCTTCGCTGTGCCAATAAGCCCTCCATCACAGGTCAAAGATAGCTCCTTTGCTCCGGATAAAGAGATACAATGACTATAGACTCTACCATGACTTCTGAATTCAAAAGGGTTCCAAAATACTGAAATACTCTTCAATATCTTCAATTACATACTGAACATGCTACTCGGCCATACTGGCAGATCGACTCGTCCATTGGACATGACCAACGAAGGCTTCCCGAACGGTCGTTGGGCCTCATGAACGCGGTGCAGCAAAGGTATGAAGCCTAGACCGGTGAAGCGAACACATTCCTCAGACTCAAAGCAGTCCCTGCAGACTCCAGAGACACTGGGAACGAAAGGAGACGCAAAAGCAATGGAAAGAAATCACAAGTCTGAGAGATGCCAATGAGAGATGCCAAAGCTTTGTTCTTTCTGAGATCTACTTTCAATTCAAGTCAATTTGCACCGAATCCGTCAATTTCGGTGGAAGCACCAGCATTCATACATATTATGACACTTTATGACATATATATTCATACCAAAATGGCAGGAACGTCTGTCTCCAGAAGGACCTACTGTACCACTGGATTTCTCTGGCGTGCTTGGTTTCAGTGAAAACTTCTGCTCAATGGAATGAGTCATGAGATGTCAGACATCATCCCTTAGCCATTTGCCATCATTCGCCTGTAGCAAAGACCTGCTGACAGCAGGAGGCACTGGTCACAAGGACTCCCAAGGCAGTCAAGACCTGCACCGGCTCGACGGATCGACCCGACACTCGCCGTGGGTTGACGGTCCGTGGACATCTTCATAATAATGTTGACTCTTGATTAATCAACCCCCCCCCCCTCCCCCATCCCCCCTCAACAATTGGGGCCTCTAGAATAATATGCTAGAAAAACAATCAATTGATAATTAAATAAGGAATCCTTAGCTAGCTACCTCTGGAGCTACTCTGGCAATACTAAAGTGAAAGGAATCATTACTTAGCTATCTCTGGCAATATTAAAAATGAAAGGAATCATTACTTAAGAACATCAAATCTCAATGGAAATCTCAAAAAATAATAGACTTTTGCATTCAAAGACCTTCAAAATCATCAAATCTCAATGGAAATCTCAAAAAACTTAAATAGAAATCTGTATTCAAAGACCTTCAAAATCATCAAATCTCAATGAAAATCTCAAAAACTTAAATATAAATATGTATTCAAAGACCTTCAAAATCATCAAATCTCAATGGAAATCTGAAAAACTTAAATAGACATCTGCATTCAAAGAGCTTCAAAATCAGCAAATCTCAATGGAAATCTGCAAATCTCAATGGACATCTGCAGAAAC